AAAAATCGTTACTTCTGGAGACTCCTAAGGAGTCTTTCAAAATCTTATTGCTCAACGAGGAAGGTAGAAATGACAGTATCCCCATTTCAGCTACATTATTCAGCTTACAACAGTTGTGTACAAAACACCTTAAAACTTCCTCCTATAATTTCCTTACATGTAGCCTGAATGCAAAGTGGAAGCCATGCTTGACTCATAACAAGATACAACCCAGCCCATAATAGCATGTGCCTGTAGGACACGGGCAAACTTCCAAGGATGAAGTTAATGTTGCTCCAGACAGAAGAAGCTAGAAAGAGAAGCTTGATCTCTCTCCTGGTGAATCTAATTTTTTTCCACTTCAGGAGTAGATTGGATGGCAGCTTTCTATCTCCAGTTACTGAACCATTGGCTCACTATATCACCAAGGGTCAAATTGGGCAGGGGGGATCAAGTGGTGGTATTTAGCAGAGCACGCCCCCCTCAAAAACTCCATCTGAACCATTGGCTCACTATATCACCAAGGATCAAATTGGGCAGGGGGGATAAAGTGGTGGTATTTAGCAGAGCACACCCCCCTCAAAAACTCCATCCACCACTGAAAATAGACAATTGATTCTGTCCCCCATGACCAATTCATTCTGGTGCTCTGCTCCATACAGCTATTTAATTCTGCCTCCCCCTTCCATTCTGACTCTCATAGGCACCACTGATATGGACCTTGTCTGTTGACACAGTTTAGGAGCTGCTGATTTTCCAAGAAACCCCTGGTAGCCCTCTGTTCTCTCTGTATCTCCCAATTCCTTATTACAGCCCACAGCAATTCCACAGAAGGCACAATCAGTACTTTTAGGAGCTGGGCGAGACAAAGAAAAAGTGATAATCCTTCCAGTGAGAAGGGGATGAACGTGCTGGAGGCTAATTTCTGAGCTCTGTGAAATCACTGGGCCCTTGAGACCTTTTTGTGGTAATTTGTGAAGGAATAAAAGGGCCAGGACAGTCAAAGGCAATAATGTGATCTTGCCATTATTCAACACTAAATAGTCACATGTGGTTTGGGGTTTTGAGTCTGAAGACATACTCCTATTGAGTCCCAGAGCAAACACTAATAACTTCACACCAATATTTGGACATCTACTGATTAGGATTCAGAGTGGGAAAAGAATCAGAACAAACATAAAGCAATATTTGGACATCTACTGATTAGGATTCAGAGTGGGGAAAGAATCAGAACAAAACAAAGTTTTTGGAAATTGTGGTTATGCAGAACAAAACTTCATCAAAAATTATTGATGTTCTCTGTTCAGAGAGAGAGGCTATCTTGTGGGCTGCTAGTTTTCAAACTTTTTTTCATTTGTGGATCCCTAAAATATTTCAAATGGAGGTACGGATGCCTTTGGAAATCTTACACATGGTCTGCAGACCCCTAGAGGTCCATGGACCATGGGCTGAAAACCACTGTGTCTTATTTCTCTAGCATTCCTTCATAGTAGTGGAGTAGGAAAGGTTAGTTCAATTCTGAATTGTAAATGACCATTTCCCTTTGATTTCCAAAGTGTCTGTCACAAGCCCAGTTCTCATTATTTTTGACATCATAGATCTACTTTCCAATAAACCCATTTTTGATCCATTAATTTCTGGTTTTGTTCTCCTTGTTTACCAGATATACAACCCAACGAGTGTGTGGAGCGCATCAGGATGCCTTTTTGTTATGACTAATCCAGTCATTTGGTCTCTCTTATACCTTTCTCCATCAACACTTGTTACAGGGATTGGGAAGTGGGTTTGTAAAAAGTTCTGTTGAAGTCTTAATTGGGATACAGCTGCTAAGCCCTCAATACAACACATCAAGAGGATTTTAAAAATAATTTGGGGATTTGAATATTTGTTGTTTAACTTTGACTCACTTTTCTTCTTGTTTGTCGTGAAACAGAATTTCCTAGGAGCAGCATCTATTTTTTTTCTCTCATTTGCCAAAGTGATAACCAGTCACAGGTTAGGGAGGTAATGGCATACACTATTAGGAAATCTGATGAAGGTGTGACTTGTCTGCTGTTGGACACACCCTTGCCCAATCTAGAACCATTGCTACAGCCATTGTCATTTTAAAGCTGGGAACCAGTGGAGTCTGACAGAAATATTTGTATTTCACTTGACCCCACTTCTGGAAGTTGTGATGGTTGGCCTAAGGTGACATGATTTAGAAGCTTCTTTTTGCCAGATCAGCGATTGTAAATTACACCTGTAAATTCACTCCCTCCCCAAATTTTTCCTCAGGCCAGCAGCTGAAAACTGATAGCAAACAGGTGGCTGCTGGTGCCCTACTATAAACTTCAAGCCAAGTCCTCTGGCTGCATCAACACAAGAGGGTCTGTTAGCACTGATGAGTAAAAAAATGTGCCAGTTAACCTTGAAGAGGGAGTTGGAATTCCAATTTTGGACAGCTGTGAAGTACAGACAGAGGGTGGGCTAGTTAGCCAGAAGACAATGGGCAAGGGGGTACTTGAAAAGGGGAAAGGAGACCAAAGCAGTCTGTGGTAGTGGAGCCAACAAAAGAAGGGAAGAGCCAGGGAAGGAGCAATACAAAGTGGTGTGATAGATATTGGGAAAAGGTGAACAGGAAGTGGGGAAGATCAAGAAAGGTGAGATGGGATTGAGAGATCATGGCAGAGTTAACAGGGAATGTTCTTCACATAACAAAAACTGGGAGGAAGAAAAAGATTGATAGGGAAGTTCTGGGAAGACCAAGTGGTGGATTGAGAGATCATGGCAGAGTTAACAGGGAATGTTCTTCACATAACAAAAACTGGGAGGAAGAAAAAGATTGATAGGGAAGTTCTGGGAAGACCCCTGGATGAGGACCCCTGGATGAAAGGAGGGGAAAAAAGATGGTGAAAGAGGAGAGAATGCAAAAAGACTAGAAGAATAAAAGCCCAAACTGATTCTGCCTTAATCTCAGGTGTGTGTGTGGGGGGGGGGGGGGGGGGGAGGATATTTTGGTCACTGCAGTCTAGCAGGGACAAAGCAATTTTTTAGGGAAGGGGAGGAATCCCCAAAATGAATTATAAACTAAGCAGATTTATTGTAAGATTGTTTTTATTTAATATTTTGGTAGTACAGTGAATGATCCATCTTAAAATGACCACAAAGATGAGCTGTTGAATAACTGCATACATTTTATGAGTATTAAGAAACTTGAAGAATTTCATAGGGATTGTATGATGTACATATTTGACAAGCATTTACACTGTGTATCACCTGATCAAAGCCATCCATACAAATCAATTCAGTTGCACAAGTAACAGTCATGTTAGAAGTCATATATATTTTAAAGCTTTTGGGAGAAGTACAAAATGACAAGAAGGTGTTTTTATTGAAATAGAAAATAATGATCCTTGAATTAGAGTAACTATTCTGAAGGTTACAGCCTTTTTATGGACATATAAAAGTGTAAGTGACAAATGTGGTGTTTAGTCATACTCAGATCTATATTAGATTGAATGCTATGTTAAGTATCTTACACAGAATTTCACAGATACAGGCTAAGTTCTGGGATTTCAAAGATGTTATATAATCCACAAAATACCTGAGGGATACTTTTTAGATTTTAAAAAAAGCCTTTACTTTTTAAATATTTAGTTTAAAAAAAATTAACATACATTCCCTACAAAACCAGAGATTTTAGATAGCCGAGTCAGGTGTGTCACTACCCCTAGGTTTAAGGGGCAATGCTTTTAAGATCCTGATAAAGATTCCTTTGAAGTTAAGAGCAAAGCTCCTATGTACTTTAGTGAGATCAGGCTCAGGCCTTCAACACTGCTCCTATCCAACACCAGAGTGAGTTTTGCCTTTGCTATCAATAGGGGGGTAGGATTGTCACCTACTGTATAATGTAGGGATGGGTCCTTCAAATCTTTATTCACATGAGCAGTCCTCACTCTGTCAAGTAGTCCCATTGATTTCATGTTTATAGCACAAGGCCCATATTCCTCTGTATTGCACAAAGTCTGGCATTGCTTGAGTTGCACAGGCTATTGCAGTGTTTCTTAAACTGTGTTCCAGGAGGCAGTCAGAGGGGTGCTGTGGAGAACAACAGAATTCAAAATGGCTGGCCTTAAAGGGGCAGGCGATCTTTTTTCCTCAATAACCCCCTACCTTTTTCCCCCAAACCCCTGACCTTTTTTTTCCCCCCTAACCCCCTACCTTTTTCCCCCAAACCCCTGACCTTTTTTTCCCCCCCCCCAATAAAAAATCCTTGGTGTTCCTCGGTCTTAAAAAGTTTAAGAAACACTGTGCTATTGTAATTCTGCTGAGTAGGGTGTTAAATTTCGATTAATCAGCTAATTGTGTAGTCGATGGAATTTCCAGTGACTACTCGATTAGTCAATAAGGAGGGAGGGGAGCACTCACTATCCCCACTGTGGCTCTGCCTTTGAAATGCAGTAAGAGCTGCCTGTGGCTTTTTTAAGCCACCTCCCACCAGCACCAGTTCCTGCTTTCCCCCCCACCCTCCGACATAGAAACAGCAAGGGAGTGTGTGAAATGTGAGTAGTTGACTCAACTACCTGATAGGCCAAAGCTTGTTGAGTAGTCAACTATTCGACTACTCTTTTACATTCTTAGTGCTGAGTGTTCTTAACTCCCATGGATTTCATTTAGAGTTGAGGGGATTTGTATCACATGAGGTGCCCAACACTATGCAAGAGCTGCATTTTTATATATCAAAAGGCAAGTTCTCTGAAGGTACATCTACACGGCAGGCTTCATGTGCAAGAGAGCATCCAGACTGCATGGATGTTCTCTTGAAAGAAAGCTCTGATTGCTATTCACAGAACAGCCACCAGAGAACCTGTGGCTTTTTTCCATTGGCTCTTTTTGTGCAAAAACCCTATTGCGCTTCCACACACACCTTTTTGCGCAAGAACTCTTGCGCAAAAAGGAGTTATTCCTCATAGAAAGAGGAATATGCACACTGCAAAAGCCCCTCTGTTCTTTTGAGTTACTGTAAATTTACTTGTGCAAAATCACACTTGAGGTTTGGACGCTCTGTGGGTTTTTGCACAAAACCCCTGTAGTGTAGACATAGCCTGAGTGGCATTCATTATCCTACATAAACATCACACAGTAGTTCAAGACTGAAATGCTTCTCAGGTATGTTTTACTTAACAGCTGATCACAAGGCAATCTTTATTTGAAATTTTTAAGTGTTTTGTGAAATAATACAAACTAAAAATGGTTTGAATTACAATTTATGGGCCCAAGTGGGATCTGTAACCGAAACTCCCATTATTTTGTTTCATGTACTTCTTAGAAGTAGATCCCATTAATGGTATGTGATGAACTATCATAGGCATAATTGTAACTCAGGCTAATAATAAAATTACATTCTTATAATGGCTCTATTCTGCACAGTATCTGATCTTAGTGGCACAAAAGTTCTAAAACGCATGTCCTTCTGCAAACCTATGTGAATTTTAATGGGACTGCTCATGTGGTTAAGTGTTGGCCTGGTAGGACCAGGCATGAGCTTTTAACTGAGAGAATAAACAGTCCACAATAAAAGGCCACCCTCACATAGGTTTTCCTAATGAAAATATATTTTTTCCTTTGATCTGTACCTTTGATTCTGCTTATGAATAAGTTAATAGATTATATTTCGTGTCTGCCATTTGGTGACTTACCAATTTTAACCTTTCTGCCTGCAATGCAATGAAATAGTTCCGTACTTTCCATTTGTTCGCATATAGATTATGAAATACATTTCAAAATTCCATTGTGCTCATAAACCAGTCTCTTTTTAGTTCCATTTTAAATACTTTGGAATGTTAAAGGCAAGCTTGGCATTTTGCCAAACTTCATTTGAATGTTTACCATCAAGGCACTGAACCACATCTCAGTGCTCCTCCCAGGACACCATAGGAGCGTATGGCAGTTCCCCCACATAGTGCACTTGAAGAATCCGGCTCCAACAATCTAGGTACCTCTTTCCATACAAGATTTCACTTTGGGATGGAGAGTCTTTGAAGGCAAATTGGGACTTTGAAAGGGTTGCCCAAGGAGTGGCAGGGACGTGCCAGCTAGGCAGTTAATGAAGAGGGTGTTAAATTAACTGTCGTGTTCTTGTTTGTTCACCAAAAATGTACTTTCAAATCATGCACTCTTCCTATATTTCAGCAGTTAATATATTTCCTGCCTCTTTCTGGAATTAAAAAAGAAGGCCTGCTTAATGCATGGGCAATTCCACTCCCCAGTGTTTGGGGCACTTATGTTACAGAAAGCTCACCAGCACCGCACATTCTTATTTACTTAGGCAGGAGTCTCCTTATGTATTTTATTCAAACATCAATGTTCACAAATGTGCTGATACGTGACTTTCACTAGCTGTTTTCTCTGCTTGAAATCTTTGGACAGCTTTATCTAGCAAATCCATAGTATCCCTAAGAGTGACGTTAACTGTAAATGGTTTAGGTTTAATAGTCAACCCATAGGTAAAATCCATTTTAGAGTCCTCATTTGGATTAGCGATAAAATTACACTGGTGTACCAGTATGGAGGTAAAGAGAAATAACTGCATCTTTGATAACTCCTCTCCAATGCACCTGCGTTTACCCAAAGAGAAAATCATCACATTGCTAGTAAGATCTTTATTAATTAATCCATTCTCATCCAAGAATCTTGTTGGCTCAAAATCCTCAGGGTTGGACCATTTTGCTGGATCATGATTCACTGACCACTGATTGATGAATACGACTGTATCTTTGGGAATGAAGTAGCCCATTATGGAGGTGTCAACTGTTGTGGCATGTGGAATAGTGACCGGCACAAAACTGCTGAAGCGCATGGATTCATAAAGGAAAGCGACAACATAGGACAAATGAGGTTGATCTTCTGCACAGGGCAAGCGATCTCTGCCAACCACCCTATCCACTTCTTCTTGCATTTTAACTTGCACCTTTGGATATCTGTTGGGATGTAAAAATATATACATATCATCTCTGCAAGTGTAATCTAAATTTTCAAACAGATTTGCTTTTAAAAGAATTGTATTTAACTAGAGTTGCTCAAATTTTTCCACGATTTTCAAATGGCGTTGTGTCAAAATAAGATATTTCATGTAAACATGTTGATTATGACATTTTCAATAGGGAAAAAGTCAATGATTCGTTTCACAGTATTTTGATTTAATTTAGACTTCAATATTATTTTATATTACATTTAACATGTTATATATATCGTGTCTATTTTGATAAAAATTGAAACGCAATGGATTGAAATGAGAATTTTTTTTTTTTTAGAATTTTTTGTTTTGTAGGAAATGTTATAATTTCTGCATTTCATTCTAAATCAGAATTACTTATCCCCACATTCCTTTCCAAAAGTAGGAACTTTGGAAATTCTGTTTCTTGAACAGCTTTATATGTAACTAGCAAATCTATTTGCATTATTTGAATTAACACACATGGGACTATATTATGCAAGGACTAGAGCTGTATGTATCCTTGTTTAAACTAAAACAAATATTTATCTGAAAGTTCAAGAACACTCGAATCTTTGTGGATATTTACTAATATCAAATACATTTTTTTTCTTGATACTACATTATATTTAGAAAAAATTATTCCAGATTTGTTATACAGACTTGGAGAAGGATCTCAAAGAAAAAGAGATTATAAAGGAAATTAACAAAAACATATTTTAGGAAAAATGTGACACATCTCCTTGTTTATTTTTAACCCTCTTACCTACCCTCCTTAAAAGCCACATAGCTCTATTGTCTCCCCACACCTATAATTTTTTTGAGATCTTGGGGTTTTTTTAAACTCAAGTTTGTCCTTTTCATGTTCCTGTGTCTCTCACTCTCTTCTCTGAATAAGATAAGGGGTGAGATGTAATCTTTTACAGGTTGAACCTCCCTAGTCTGGCACTCTCCAGTCCAGCAACATCCATGGTCTGGCATGGTTTTAGTTAGCCAAATGCCCACTTACCATGGGTGTGGTCAAATTTCCGGCAGTCCCATAAAGTTCGTTTACAGCCACCAGTCCTAGCTCTCAGTGTTCTGTGTTGTTGTTTGCTCTAATTTACCCCTAAACATCTTCTAAGAGCCCAGTGGGCAGTGGAAATGTTGGTAATAATATGACTTCCCATGGTCTGGCATGGTCTATGATTTGGCACCGGTCAGGTCCTAAGAGTGACGGATTAGAGATAGTCTAATACAGGTTGAACAACTTCTGTTGGTGAGAGAGAGAGAGAGGGAAGCTGTCGAGTTAAAAGAAGCTCTTCTTCAAGTTCGGGAGAGGTATCCAGAGTATCACAGCTAAATACTGTACAACAGTTTAGAAAATGTGCTACTTATTCTAAGAGACTAGTTAAGATGAAGTGGCCCAATAAGGCCCCTGTAGTCATGAGCATCCAGTATCCTAGGCAGGGAAAGGCATTGCCTTCCCAAACTGCCAGCCCAAACTATAGGAATTCTGAGGGCACAATGTTGTTGCTCCCAGTGCTCCTGGCTGGGGAGGCTGAAGCTGCTCTGTCCACCCTCCCTGTGCTCTGGGCAGGGGAGGGGGAAGCCTGTGGCCATGCGCTACACACCCTCCTTGTGCTCCGGTGCCGGAGAGGCTGGGGTGTGTGTACCCTCCCACCTACCCTCTTCCCTGTGGTGGTGGGGTTGCAGGGAGGCAGCTTGACTACCATGGGAGGCAGAGGCAGGGCCTCATCTGAAGGGACGGGGGTGGGGCTGGGGGCTTGCCTCCCCTAGCCCTACAGTTACCAACCACCCATGCCTGTAGTCATAGTACTAAAAGGGACATTTAGTGGATTACAGATTGTTGTAATAAGCCATAAATCCAGTATTGTTTATTGACCATGATTTTTTGCAAAATTATGAAATTAATCTTCCAGCTCATCTTTGAAAGTGTTGTGCATGTTGCCTTTGAGGTTTGATTGCTTTGTGAAATGTATGTCCGCATGGAAAACAAGTCCAAATGTAAAGTATTCCAGTTAGAATGCCACACAGGTTATATAAGCCTGAAAGTGTGGCCATGGCACAAGTGCTGCTAGAGAGATCTCCCAGTGCCCTCTGTAAACCTTCTCTGCGAGGGGAGTAGCTAAGGGTGCATCTACACTGAAATAAGCTATGCAATTTGAGCTACGCATATAGGATAGCTTATTTCAAGTCAATTTCAAAATAAAGCGCTATTCCAAAACGTCCCTTAATCCTTGTGGAACAAGGTTTACAGGGACCTTGGAATAGCACGCTCGTTAGTTCGAAATAACAGGCGCACTGTCAAGAAGCAGAATAGCTATTTCAGGATACCAGATGTATTCTGAAATAGTGCGGCAGTATAGACGTATCCTAACAGTGCTGGGAGCGCAGCTCACAGTGCTGTAGCCTGGTTCACACTGGCACTATACAGTGCCATAACTTATTGCGTTGGGGGGGAGGTTATTTTTTCACACTCTGAGCCAGAAAGTTACAGTACTTTAAAGTGCCAGTGTAGACTTGACCTAGAGGAGCATAAAGAGATGATGTTGCGAAGTAGTACAAATGATTAAGAGAACACTGGGGGAAGGAAAGGAAGTAACACCAGTTTCCTGCTATGTAAAAGCCTCTTGCAACCACAGTATTTTTGCTGAGTCCAATCATTTTCAGCAAGATGAACATTATGATATGTTTATACACACAGGCTGTCCCATAGGTCCACCTGTTCTTAAGCTTTGAGGCTGTTTTTTCCCACTAGTCATGAAAACACAAGAAAGGAGCGGTAAGATAATACAGGGTTTGTAAACCAGTGCAAGAAGTCTTTATCTTGCTTAAGTAGATGCTATCCTGTTCCTAGGACCTCTTTGATCCTGACCTGGTAAAATCTGTTACTGTTTTGGGTTTGTTTTGTTGCCTTTTTGCCAGCCTCGTTCTTCATGGACCCAGTAAACGTTACATAGAGTGCCACTGGGATTACGTTTTTTTTTTTAATATCTTCAGTTTTGGCAGTTTTCCCAGAGCTTCTGTGTGAGTTAATCATGAACAACCAAGGTACTTTAGTGCCCACAAATACAGGGATTGTTACCTTATGTTTATTTTCAACTAGAAACAAAGCACTACTGAGCAGATCAATTCAGTGTGATGCTTGCACGTCACTGGCAATCTAAGCATACTGCTGTAATAATGGGCCAATTTGTTCATGGAGTGTATTTAATACATTAGATTTTGGTTGCAGGAATTATTCCAACTTGTCTCTTATGTCACACAAAATGATCTCGACAGCTAGACCTATTAGTTTCTAAGTATTGTTTATTTTAGTTGGCTTTTATATATGGATCCTTTCCAACAGCTGCATCTAATTGGGTCTGAGGAACTGGCATGAGGAAATAGACTTGCTATTTGATCAGTGACACAATATCATTGTCACATTTCAGAAGTATGGCTGCGAAGAGAAGAAACCTTTTTTTAAATGAAACTGATAGCATATATTTCCCCAGAACACTGAAATTTTGACTAGCAAAGGGCAACTTTACATCCTTCTAGCTTAAGTCTAAACAATAGCCATAACTGCATCCCATAAACTGATATTAAACTCAACCGACCTGAGGCAATAAAAAGCTAGGTGGCCCTGATTCTGAATTTCCTCTCACCCCCTCCCTTTCAGAGAGATCAGAAGAGAATCAGGCTCTGTATTTGTAAATTTATTTTAACCCTTGCTGAAAGCTCTTGCTTTAAAAGGAAGGTCACTGCCATGTTTCCCTAAAGAGGGTTTGAGGATTTTTTAATCAAGTTGTGACAAGATTTTCACAGTCCGCACCCCTAAGAAAGCTGGGAGGTGGTCTTGTTGGAAAGAAACAGCTGCAGTCAGGCTAGTGTAGCAGCAATAGTGAAGAGGGTCTAGGACTTGGCAACTTCATCCCCATTTGGTATAGGTAAGAAGAGCTACAATCACTGTAAGGATGATACCCATTTCTTGTATAGCACTCTGCACAATCTTTACCATGTACTTGATCCTGCCAAGGTAGGGAGGTGGCGTACAAACGAAGTGATTTATGTAACGTCACAGCAGAGCCAGGTACAGAACCCACGTCTCCCCTGTCCTAAGCCACTGGAGTAGTGTTCAGGGCTGGCTTTATCATGAAATGAACTGAGGTGGCTGCCTCAGGTGCCAGACTGTGGGGGGGAAGGGTCGCCACCAGGACTCAGAGTGTAGAAAATTGTCTGCTGCTGGTGCATATGTACAGGTTGTTCCTGACTTATGAATGAGTTACGTTCCAAACACTTGGTCGTAACTCAATCTGTTTGTAAGTTGGACCCCATTCATTTAAATGTGACTGCTCTGTTCGTAAGTGCGGATCATACAATCTGTTTGTAAGTTGGACCCCATTCATTTAAATGTGACTGCGCTGTTCGTAAATGTGACTGCTTAATGGGAGGTTGGTTGTAAATAAGAACGGTCGTAAGTCAACGCATTTGTAAGTCGGGGACGACCTGTATTCTCTCTGCTCTACATGCACAGAGATGGTGGCGTGCCAGGAGAGGAGCAGAACAGGAAAAAGGCAGAACTGAGTCCTTTCAATGTTTTGGCCCAAGCGAGAGGGCATGGGGGCATCATTTGAGCTCCCCACCTCAGGTGCCAAAATGTTGTGGGCCGGCCCTGCTAGTGTTCACTGTAAGCTGAGTGCTAGGATGGCTGCCCAGGAGAGATTCAGGCACCGCCTAGTTGATTAACAGAGTGCCCACAGAGCTCACAGCCAGCAGCATGTATTTCTATGGTGGTGCACATCCAGATGTGCCTTGGGGCACAACATTTATTCTGAACATGAATGTTAAAACAATGAGAGGGAATACTGCACTGGACTCTCCTTCTATGCAGGATCTAGTTCATGGCCTGGGGGAAGGTGAGATAAGGGCTAGGATCTTGCATTATCAGAGAGGCTCAGTTCATGCCAATTTCTGAGATAAAGTGTATGCAGGTTGATTGAAGGCAATGCCAGTCCAGAGCTGGGTGGACATCACACTATGATGGTCCTGATGCAGGGGTGGGAAATAATTTTTGACCGAGGGCCACTTCAGAAATTTTTGAAGTGGCCCCAGGCCGCCCCAGAAGGGATGGGGCCTCAGGCAGAAGGGGCGGGGCCAGGACACATCTGTGCTTACCCATCCACAGACCCTGATTGGTCTGGGGGTGAGGGAGCACGCAAAGTCTTTGCTCCCTCTACAGAGAGAACCGCCAACTGTTCTGAACAGCTGGCGGTTCCCTATAGGCGCCCTGCTCCTGCCAGTGGACAGAGACTGCATGCTCTCCTTTCCTCCCTCCACCCCAAGTCAATCAGGGACTGGAAGAAGGGGAGCATGTGAAGTCTCTCGCTCCTTACCCTCATCCTGCAAGAGAGCTCTGTGCTGCCAGCTATTGCTCAGCTGGCAGTTGACTTTAAGGGCCAAACCCCTTGCAGGATGGGAGGAGTCCTTTCAGGGCTTGAAGGCAGGGGGAGTGTGCAAAGTCTCCTCCCCCTCTGCCTGGAGCACATGGTGCTTCTAAGCTTGTGCACTCCTTGCAGGGTGGGGATGGCGGGAGGAGACTTTGCACGATTCCACACTGCTCCCAGAGGAGCTGAACTGGTGATTAGAGTCAACTGCCAGTCAACTCTAAGCTCTACGCCCTCCCCTGTTCCTAGGCCTTGATTGGGCTGGGGAGCAGCAGGACCTCAGGCTGGATCAACCCACTTGGCAGGCCCGACCCAGCTGTTGGAGGCCCTTTTGCCCATGCATGTCCTAGCGGGCGACCAGTTGCTGACCCTATATTAGGAGCTTTACCTTATTAACCCATGAGTTGGGAACCTAAGGCCTGTGGGCCAGATGTGTACCCCAGCTTGCCAGGACCTGGCTCCTGAAGCTCCGGATCCCCGTAGCATTAAAGATCCTGTGCGGGTGCTCTTGCCTGTGGGGCTGGAGCACACAAAATCTACTAGCCCTACTAGGCTGTGGTGTGCAAGGGGAATGTCTTTATCCTCAGTCAAGGGCCACATCAGTGTCTGTGTTTATTTACTGCTTTGCTTCTCTATGGTGTTCGGCCCCTAATTTTCCGTGGGTCAGCGGCCTCCAAGCCCCAAACAGGTTCACCACCCCTGATGTACACAAACGCTCCCCAGAGTGCCCCCCTTTCACAGTCGCCCTTATGGCTGCCTGGCCCTGGCGGCCCCACCCCGACACCCTGCGTACAGCGGTGGGGGCGCGGGCTCTTCCAGCCCAGCTCGGCCCCCTTCCTCCGCTCCCGGCCTGCGCGCACTCACCGGATGAGGAAGATGAGGAGCCACTGCAGGGCCGTGGAGAGCGTGTCCTGGCTGGCCCCGAAGATGTCGGTGACTGTGGCGGGCACGTGCTCGAGCGGCAGGCGCGGCTGCTGCTGCTGGAGGCGGATGAAGGCGTCCATCATGTCGCGGGGGGCGGCCCCGGGGCGCAGGCTGCCGCGATGCTGCAGGAACTTGCCGCGCACGAAGCCGTAGAAGTCGCGGTTGAGCTGGCGGAAGGCGCGGTAGGCGGCGCGCACCGGGTTGGGGAAGCGCTGGAGCCAGGGCAGCACGTCCACCAGGCTGCCGGCCCCCACCGTGCGGCCGAACTGCTCGTTGCGGCCCACCAGCCGCAGGAACTCGGCGTCGCCGTGCCGGTAGCGGCGCCCGAAGCACAGGGCGCTCATCACGTTGGCCACCGCCACCACCAGGCTGCGCGCCGGGTCCACGAAGGCGCCGCCCGCGCTGCCCCGCACCAGCAGCCGCACCAGCGCCCGCGCCTCGCCCAGCAGGTGCTGCTCCAGCAGGCGGCGCGGGGCCGGGCAGGCGGTGGAGAAGGCGCGCACGGTGGAGTGCGCCAGGCGGCGCTGCAGCTTCCACAGCTCCGAGTAGCCGCCGAAGGCCAGGCTGCGCCCGCCGGACACCAGCTGGAAGGAGGCGAAGCGCGGCCGGCCGGCGAAGGCGGCCCCCTGGCGGATGAGCGCCCCGCGGATGGCGCGCTCGCCGTTCAGCACCACCACGGCCCGGCTGCCCAGGCGCAGCTGGAACACGGCCCCGTAGGTGCGGGCCAGGCGGGCGAAGGCCAGGTGCGGGGCGCTGCCCAGCTGAGCCGCGTTGCCGATCAGAGGCCACGGGAAGGGGCCCGGGGGCTCTAGGCGCCGCCGCTGCAGCAGAAGGCGCTTCGTCAGGTGCACGGCGGCAAGCAGGCAGAGGAAGAGCAGCAGGGCGCTCTGCAGGGGCGGGATGCTGGCGAACGCCTCTCTCAGCCGCCGGAGAGCCATGCTGCGGGGAGAAGGAGGCGAGATCAGCGCGGGCAGTGGCTCAGAAGGAACGAAGGGTGAATGGGCGCGCACCTGCTGGGCAACAAAAAAAAGGGGGGGGGGCTGGGGTGCACATGGCAGGCTTCGCGGGAACGGCCCGTGTAAACAGAACACGGTCTCACGCCGAGGCTGGTTCGGACAGTCTCGCCCCAGAGGCGCCTGGGAAGCGCCGGGCAAGGAGCGAGCCGCACCGATCGCTTGGCCGCACAAGCGGAGCTAACGGCTGGGCAGTTGGGTGTCCCAGCCCGCGGGGACAGGTTGCCTTGCGGCCCCGCTCGCGATAAGGAGCTGCCGCGGCTTGGGGGAGCCCCAAGAGGCTCCTGCCTTTTACCTGCCGGAGGGGAGGGGAGATCGCGGCAAAGTCACCCCACGTCGGTGCCCACTGCCTGCACCTCGCACGCTGAACTGTGCGCGCGTTTGGACGGAACCGAGGAGAGAGGCTGTAAGTCAGGATAACACTCCGCTTTCTGTAATGAGGCGTGGGCATGCACCGGCCCCAGTCCGCAGGCACGCATCGGCGGGGAGGGGGGACAGCCCCGGGGCTATAGGGATATAATTCACACTCCGATTCACAGCAGTGGCCAGTGTGGGAGCGCATAGCTCCCAGCCAAGCATCTAAAAACATTCTTTGCAGCTCGTGGGAGTCGGGGGGAACGGAAGGCAGCCCTTTAAAAACATCTCATAAAACCGACCTGTGGAAAGAGGCTTCCCTCCAATTTCTGGGCTGCACCGGGAGGCTGCGGGTGGGGCAGGCCCTGGCGGGGAGCTCAGCGCGCGGCGCGGCGCCGAAGTTCAGATCCCACAGACTGTGGGAAACTCCTTAGGAGCCCGGGTTCTTGTCACCCGGCGCTTGGCAGGTCATGTGCAGGCAAATGCCAGTTGCAGCGGATCCCACATCGCGCGTTGTGTGTAACCCTCCGAGCTTTTAACCCTTCCGAGCTCGCCCTCCAGCAGCCTGCCTCGGCCCCGGCACTCCAGCCGTGGGGGATCCGTGCGCAGAGTCCGTGGGACGGGGCCAGCAAACGAGCGTGGGCGGCTTACGGGACAGTTTTGAGCTTAGCCGGAGCCTGGTGCTCGGTGCTTCAGATCCCCCAGCCGCTGCAGCCTCCTGCCCTTCCCGGCTTGCCCGGCATTGACCGATCGCAGTTGCCTCGCTCTTCCCTATGGGACCCCCCTCTTGCTTAGTTTCCTCGGGCCCCAACCCATCTGACCAGGCTGAACC